CAGGGCTGTAGATCTGAGGGTCTTCAAGTCAAGACATCACCATGTTTGCGATGCTGCAGCTATCCAGTGCATCGTCTGGGCTGGAGAGGCAGTTTCATGGATCCCTGCCAGGCTGGAGATGTTCGAGCTGCCTGTCTGAGGGGACACATCCTGTCCCCGTCAGGGAGGTGACTAATGGGGTTGCATCTGACCCTCTCATACCACCTTTTTGCTGAAACTTGGTTTGAACTTGCAGTAGTCTGCTGAGCAAATGCCCAGAAGATAAGAAAGACAAGACCTTCTGGTCTCCTTCATCTTACAAAAAGCTGCCTGGAAGTTCATAGTTTAATTGATGGTGAACAACCTTAGGAGAAAATGGAGCCTGATAAGGTCAGAGGTGTATCTTTGGAGGAGAATCCAAAGAAATTTTCTTCTCAGCTGCTAATCACCCCTTTCAGAGCACCACAGACTGCTGGACTTGTATTTCCTTTTTATGCTTCTTTGTGGCTTGCAGTGTCTTACGCTAAAAGTGCATCTCATTCACCTCAGACCACAGCGTCAGGCTTCTGCATGGCTTCTTGCTTCCTGCCTTGGAATGTGGAAATAAATGGTGATGGTGGGTTTAGAAGTGGTGCGTGGAAAAATAAAGAACCAGCCTGGGGAGGCTGTCAGAGTTTCCCCAAAGCAAGAGATTGGTGGGAAGTGGCAGGCTGGTTTCATCTGAAAGCACCAGCTCCACCTGGGTGAACAGTTAAGCCCAACCTGGTCAGTCCATATTATGTGGGCTTTAGTTTAATTCCCTAGAAGATGACAAGAAAGTCCTGGTTAGGCATGATCTTAATCTTGACAGTGATGTTAATTAATCCTGATTCATTGTTATAAGAGTATGAGGCCAGGCAGGAAATGAGCAAAAAGCATTACTGAGAAAAAAAAAAAAAATCTCTTGATTTCACACTTCAGGGTGTGGGGAGGGGAAGCTTTGAAGATGCTGTGTTCTTGCTGCAGTATTATATATTAACTTCTTTGGTTTTGGCTCATGAAGTACTCTTTTCCCTCACCCTTAGAAGCATCGGATGTAATTAAGCTCAGAAGCAATGGCCCTTTCCAGCTCTTTCCTGTCAGCAGGGTGAAATAGCACATAAATGGCAGATTTTAGGGTTTTTTTCTTCTTAGTGGGTGAATAGCCACTAGAGAAATTTAGTTCCTCAGCACTGTGTTACCTCCTGAGAACCGCAGCTTTGCTAGTACCTGTTCTTAGCTGCTGAATCAAGACTCTGGATGCTTTCAGTCACTCATTTAGCTGTCTGCATCTTGTCCTGCAAGTTTTCTTGGGATGCTGCACTGGTGGGGGGAGACGGGATGAAATCCTGCCAGCAGCACTGCAGAAACCCTCTACTTTGTCAGAAAGCAGAGTTGGACTCTGTGTTATTGCCCTGTTCAGAGTCACTGCAGAGACTTGCCAGATGTCTCCATGGTAGACTAGTTGTGTAATTTACAAAGTTGTTCTCAACATAAAATAGAGACTTTTCATCTAAACGGTTTTGCAAGCTTTTATTCAACAAGAAAGGAGAAGCAGCAAGGCCCTTCCCTGTGTGAAGAGGGTGACCGGAGCAGGGAGCTGCCTGGTGTATCTGGTAGTGCCACCGTCTTCCAGATGTGTAGTGAGAGGTCCTCGGAGCTCTGACCCTCCTCTGGCTCAGCGAGGACAGCTTGGCTGGGATATGAATTTTTAACTTGTGTTCAAAGTGCTTCCACTGAGCCATTGCCTGGAGATAGAAAGCATGCAGCCTTGTTAGAGAGGGTGATAACAGCTACTTTATCTCAAGTGCCTGGACTACTGCTTTTTTTTTTTTTTTTTTCCCTTTTCCCTTTTAATCTGATATTCTTTGTTCAAAACCCAGAACAGGCAGGTGCCTCCCAGTTAAGATTGATGTAGTTTATCAGTAGAAGTCTGCCTGCTATTTCATAGGATGCTCCTGAACTAAATTGGGATAAAGGCTGGAGCTTCAGCTTGTTAAAGACAGTGGGAAAGGAAATCTGTTTAGATGTTTATGCATCAGCAAGGCAGCATTGATTCCCATTGGCATTTCAGCTGCTCTTTGTGATTAAGATGCCCTGGAGAAGCCTCAGCGGTGGAGGAGTGATGTGACAGTAACACTCTGCTAAAGCCAGGGCAGTTTTGCACTGGCTACCATTACTGTGTGCATCTGAAATGCTCTCTTTATTTATTTTTCTTTTACTTTCCTATTAAAATGAAAATTCACTTCTGTTAAAAGCATCTGTAATGCCTGTTCTGGCACTGATTTTTCTCAGCTTATCTACAGCCAGGTGGCAGTGAGAGCTTGATGATGCTGGGGGTAGCAGTGACCTCAGCGAGCCTCTTCTGGTCTCTTGAGATGGTTGGTGAAGATCCCTGCCCAGGCCAGAGATGCCCGTTCCCTGGGTGTGCAGAGGGAGGACTGTGTGGTTCGGTGGCGAGGCTGGACCAAGCTGTCCCCCTCCTACTTGAAGGAAGCTGCGAGACCCTTTGCCAGCCCAGGTGAGGTGCCTGTTGCAGCAGCCACTGGAGCAGTCAGCAACCTGCCAGATAGGGAGAGTGGCTTATTATAAACCTATTTTTGTACTCAATGAAAATGGCTAAAAATATTTGCTTTCACTCATCAGCCATCAAACTCCTGCCCTCAAGTCCCATCGTTATTCTGTGCAGGTTATTTCTAATGACAAATTAGTGCTCTAAGCATTTATGTTGCAGACTTTCACCTGCGAACGCATATTTTGCATGCCCTGTAGGAAGGCAGATTTGTTCAAAAATAAAACTGTTTTGAGATCCTATTATGTACTGCCATGAGCAGAGCATTTGCAAATACCTGAGCGAGACCTCTATTGAATATACTTTAATATTTCCCTGAGTAGAAGGGTCATTTTAAGACTAGAATAGGGCTTTTCTTTTGTTGTGGCAGATCCTCTGTATGACACTGGCACGTAACTTGGTCTCTTCAAGTCTCCATTTTTTCTTGACAATATCGACATAATAATACTTTTGCCTACCAGGTCTGTGTAGATAGACAGCGGTTGGGACAGAAGATGAGCTGCCTGTGTGGATCATGTGGTGGATGGAGCCATGGCCTCAACTGTTGTAATGTAGTTAATTAATTAACAGGTTATGTAATTTATTTTTTTTTTACCCTTTGAAACGAAGATATTTTTTACACTTTGAAACAAGGCAGAGTAAGGCTTCAGGGTACAGCCACCTCCTTCATGACTTCCTGATGGACAGTGCCTTCATTTGTCTGATCCAAAGGTTGGAAAGCCCACAGTTGTCCTTGAATTTCTATCTCAGTGCTTTTCTTCCCTTAGTCAGAAGACTCTTCCTAGTATCTAACCCGCGTTCCTTGGTGCAGTTTAAGACTACGACATCCCTTGCTACTCTTGACAAGCCAAGATGATAGTTTATTCCTTTCTGTTGTGGCCCTCTTGATGTGTTTGAAGGCCATTGTGATGCTTCCCTGTTGTCTTTACTCTTAGTCCAGATGAATATGACTTTTTCACTGATTTTCCAGTCTGTGCTTTCTTGGCCTTTCTCAACTTTATTGAAATGCGGTGACCAATATCAGAACTTCAGTAGTTCTACCTAAATGAAAAGTTCCCTTTGTGTATCTGGTGAACAGTACACCCCTCTGTGTATCGCAGTGTGATGTTCGGTTTTATTGCAGTAACGTGACTGTGTTCAGCTCCTGTTCAGTTTGTGATCTATGGTAATCCTGAGATCCTTTTCCAAAAAAAAAAACCCCACCCCAAAACACCTTTGTGAGCTGATATTTATTTCCCTTGTGACCATGTCATTGATTATTCCTGTCTTAGCACTGTTCACCCATCATTCCTGAATTGTCTTTTTCTTTTTCTCTTTTTTTTTTTTCCAGACCATTTCTACAATTTATCAAGATCATTTTGAATCCTAATCCTGGCCTCCGAAGTACTTGCAGCCTGTCCCAGCCTGGTATCAGCAGCAATTTTAGTAAGCAAACTATGTTCCATCATTCACATCAATTGTAAAGGTACTGAACTGTGCCAGAGGTAGCACACCTTGGACACCCACTCGACACATCTTCCCCTTTGGCAGTGTGCGCTGTGGCAGCATCCTGCGACGCTGCATTTGACTTACAGAATGTACAAAAGGCAGCGCAGCTCCCTGGGATGATGAGATTTGTATCCCAGAGCAAAAGAGATTTCAGCAGCCCGTTTGAAGATTTGTAATGAGAAATAAATGCACTTGCCATATCGGTGCCTGAACAAGACCGGTGATGTGCAGGGTCAGGTGTTTGAAGGCGTAGAAGCTATGCTTTCTGGGAAAAACAGCAAGTCCACTTTTTTTTTTTTTCCCCCATGTATTTGTTACTTTTCTTTTATCCTTCGTTCTCAGTGGAAAACCCACCTTCTGTTCCTACCTCGTAGCTGCTGTTTTGCACATACTCATTTATTAAAGAGTATTTGGGGCTGAGACCCAGAGGGAAGGAAAGCAAACAGCAGCTTGCTTCATGATTTACAGACCGAGGAAGCAGTTGTGAGTGATGGTGGGGATGGGCTGGACCTGCCGGGGGTGGAGCAGGTGTGTGTCCAAGTGGATGGTCTGTCCTTTGCTTGGAGTTTTGCCCTCTGGCTCAAACACTGCGTTTCTGTATCGGTGGCCTATCACATAGGTTCATTTTGATGGAGATGGCGAAGGGTGTAGTATTCCAGGATTTATGAATTTCCATGGGGTCTGATAAATGAAGCTTTATAGACCAAGCTTATATTTATAACGTACAGGGGCAGAGCCAGATGCTGCCCGTGGAGACCAAAAATATAGTGGACAGCCACTGTTTATGTCCCCGTAAATGTCGATGTTTAACAAATAAGAAATGAAAACAAAAACAGTGGACAGACCCCAAAAGTAATCCGTTGCAAATGAACTTGGACAAGAATTAGTTTCTTGTTTCTCTCTCAGGAGGAGTATAAAGCTGGGTTTTGTTGTTAGCTGCACCTAAATGCGTGTGTGTCTGTCAGAATAGCTCTTGGTTTCAAACCTCCTCTTTTCCGTGACATCTGCTGTTTCTGGAAATTTCAGCTTAAACAGGAAAAATCATTTCAACTTGCCTTTCACCTTCATAGATGTGAGACTGAATTAGGATATCCAGCGCCTGTCATAGGGCCTGAAACACTATTCCTGTGTTGCAAATGGGGGAACTGAGGCACAGGAGGCCAGTATTGTGTTAGGCTCATAGCATGAGTCTGGATCAGAAATGCTGATTTTTGTCCCCTCCTCTATGACCTGTATGTCTTTCCCAAAGTTACAAGAATTTGAGAAGAAATGAAGTTCTGTGAACAAAGACTTACAATTTGATATTTTCAAGGACTTTAACTACATAAAACTGATGTACTATGGGGGAAAAAGCCTTAAATATCCCTGTAGAGAGTACATAATGTAATGATTTTGTATTTATTCATTGCATTGGAGTGGATGAAATCTCTCCCAACCATAATGGAATTATGTTTGGATGTGCTATCTACTATGGTGGTGTTAAAAGCAGGTGCACAAAGGGAATTATTTTTGGAGAGAGGAGAAAAAAATCTTATGGTACCAGTAAGTGATTCCTACCACTGCAGTAATCCTAATCAGATTAATTAGGTTTAATTTAGCTGCCTGGTTTTTATTTATGTGAAATAAAAAACACATCTAAGGAGTTTTGTTTAAAACCTTTATGAGTTTTAGTAATATTTTTTATTTGTTTCATGTGGTGCAATGTATAAATCTCCGGCTGGTTGGGCTTTTAGGCAGAATTATATTGCATCCAGCATTTAGAGCCAGCCATTAGTTCTCCATCTCCTCTTACATCTTTTGTTGTCAGTAAATCCATCTCCTGTCACCTTTCCCATATTGCCCATCTGTAGGTGGCCCAGCTACCCCTGTGCTAATGTCTTCAAAGGTGTTTCTTCTCTTCTTGCTTCTTTTTTTGAGAATTGTAGCAAATCTCCCCTCCAAGAAGCAGCCTGGTTCTGCTCCTGATCTTCTGGTATGGCCAATCCCCCTGTCTGTGTCACGTCCTTGCCCTTCCTGCACGTTTGTTTTCCCCTCTGGAACAATCCTTCTGTAATTTTACACTTGTGTGTCTCACCAAAAGCCATATCTGTTCTCACGTGCATATGCCACTGACTTTTATCATCACTTTTTTTTACTGCTTCTTTCCCTTACTGTTTTCCATTTCTGAAAAGCTGTTCAGATTTTCACAAAACAAAGCTGTATGGCATTGCATATGTGCTTGCCCATATGTATCCGTGTATAGTGAAGGTTGCAGAACAGTATCTGTCAAATGAGGTAATTTTCCATCAGATTCATCCCTCTCTTCTCATTTCATATTTATCCCTTGGAAAGCTTCAATCAAAGTACTAAGATGGCTTTGAGTTTTACAAGTCTGAAGGACCAGAAGAGTTTCCCTGTGAAAATAACCGTGGATGCTATGACCATCCCTCTACGTCTTCATCAGTTAAATGAGAAGGTTTGATGTCATGAAGCCACAAGCAGCAGCCACATGCGCTGGCAGAGCTTTTCTCCAGCGTCTCTTACCCATCATTTTCAAATCTCACGTGATTACTGTTTTCCCTTGATATTTAATTCAGTTTTTCTTTTCTTACTTGGTTTCTCAGTGCCATGAACCTCTCGTGTTTTTGAAGTGTATCCCTCGCGTTTGATCTTGCTAGGATTCAACGGTGTCTTCAGTGACAAATTTGGCCGTGCGCTTTCACAAAAGGGCAAAGAGCACAAGGAGGTGCAGAGTGGACACAGTGTGGCCTGTGGAGAAGTTTTTGCTCTTGGCGGAGATTTTTATTATCAGGAATGTTTTTTGGTGGACACCTGAGGGTGTCACCTTCTCTCAGGTTTTTGTGTCAGGAGGCAGCTGGAGCCTGTTTTGGGGAAAGGGCACCCCACGGTGTTGGTGCTGGGGGTGTATGTGTGCAGGGATGCACACTGCTGCCCACGGTTGTTTTCCTTTCCTGTTCCATTACTTTACTGGTGCAGAAGGGTGTCCTGGAGGTACCAGATCAGGGTATGTCCTCCTGCCTTTGCATCAAGCTGTGGTGTCACAGCGGCAATGGCATTTCAAATCAGGAGTCCTCATTGCATCAGAGTCTCTTTCAGACCAACGGTTGGCTGTCAGAAACTAAAACCCATCTTCAAAGTTACATGCAGCTTTTTCTTTTCACTTTTTAGTAGGAATATGCTGTTATCTCAAAAATCTTCTGTCTCATCCCTTCAAAATCCTCTCTTTAAGCCCTGGCATCTTATTGTATTGGCAGTGAGGAGTTATGACCAGTTTCAGACTTCCTCCCCTCTTCTTTTTCTTCACTGTTTTCTCTCAGCTTGGTGGCGTGCAGAAGTCTTGGTGCAGGGTGTGAAGTGCCTCTCCACACAGGAGTGTGTATAACCACTCTTATGTCATCCTTTACCAAAATAGAGTGGCGATGTTATTTAACAAGGTAACACACGCTCTATTTTAAGCTGCTTCTAAAAATAAATTCCCGCACAAGCTGGTGTTGTGGCAGCAATGTTTTATATTTTAATTGGGGCTGTTTTCTTAGGATGATTCATAGAAAGAAGATGAGCTTTACTAGTTTTACCCTGGGGTGAAACAACGTAGGTGAGTTGCTGATTGTACATGAAGGTCTACGTGGCCACGAGGACTTTTCCAATTAGCTCGATGGTTGCTGGCTTTTCCCCTAAGGCTGTCGTGTTAAATGTTGGGCAAGCTCTTTCTCCTGGAGGTGTCTGGTAGCTAATACAACATGTTTTGTATGTGGACAGTGTCCGACAGTTCTTTGGAGAGTTGATAGTATTGTCACGTTGAATGAGAAATAATGACTGAGGGAAGTAGTGAGGAAAGAGATGGTTCCTCTGGGAAATAAGATGGAGATTTAAAACTTGTTGCATGTGCTCAGAGCAGCAAGAAGTACAAGAGACAGAGATACGGGTGAGGTGGAGGAAGGCATTGCAGAAGTATCTAGAGAGAAGAAGACAATTCTGCCTTCCCAGACTGCCACTGAGTATCTCAGCGTCCTGGGGGGGAACAGCTTCCTTGCTGTAGCTCTCAGCGCACGGGACAGGGTTGGTTTTTTAACATTAAGCAGAACAATTCTTTTCTGAGTTGCTTCATGGTCACCCTTGCCCAGCCAACCATGTGAGCAGCCCTCAAAGAAAACCTTTGACCTCTTGTCCAACACCAAGATGTGTCATCTCCTGGGGTTAGCACACATTTAGAGATGATTTAGGGATGAATGTGAAATAAGGAGAAGGAGCTGAAGGAATTGAAGGGGGAAGAAATGGCAATGGTAGTTCTTGTATGTTGGTTAGAGTGGCAGGATTTCAAAGTTGTTGTCTTGAAGTCAAGTGTCTTTGGAAGGCCAAATACCTTGAGAACTGTGATCTCCAGCCTACCAGCTTTGGGACAGCAATACTGAACAAATAATCATCACGCTGAAGGCAACGCCATCATTTGCTCTTCCTGCAGATTTGGAGCAGAGCAGTAGTAGGCTTGGCTGTGTCTGGTTGTGATCTATGTCAGCAGGCCTCACGGGGTGACCCAATGGCCATGGGTTTGCCACTGTAGGCCTAACAGCTTTGGGAGATAAAAGAGAAATCTCTCTTTCCTGTACGGTGTTCACAGGAATGATCTAGGATTGTGGAAGACCTAAGGTTGCCTTTACTCCACGCAGAAAACTTGCTCCTGTGCTGCCAGCAGTGTGTCCAGTACTAACAAGCTCCCTGCTCGAAGCCAGGTTGTACGTGGCTCCTTCCTCTTGCCAGAACCCCCCGGTACATCGTGTCCTCTCTCTGGTGCACCTCGGCAAAGCGAAGCACAAGTTGAGGACTTGTTTGGTGTTTCAGGGTGACGTTGTACCAAACTTGGTGCGTACAAGAGAAAATCCTGTCCCACAGAAGTTACAAACGTGACTTTTCTTCTCCTCTGGACCTCTGCTGTGGTG